TAGGTACATATATAGTAGCATAGTATAACATAGGTAAGTGTGTTTGTGGGTTAGTGGCACACAAGAGCTGCTGGCCGCCGCCGCCATTGCCCATCACAGTCCCGCAACTGCTTGGTAGTACCACTACAATGACTCGTTAGCATCGACTGGTAAAATTGTATATACCCACCTATATTTTTACCTACCTACCTACCTACCTACCTAACTATCTAACTATCTACCTACCTACCAACCTACCTACGTATCTACCTCCTCTCCTGAGTCATACAGAACGTAAAGTGCCATTGTTCTTGAACTTGTACGCCATCGTACGCGATCTAACACACGCGATACGAGGACCCCAGGTTGCCACTCGAACCGAGTTTCTCCGTGGTATTATATCTTCTTGTTTTCTTTTAATGTCTTCTTAGCGTACTATTAAACACGTATACTCGATTAACAATAGATCCATTATCGATTTATAAGATTAACATACATTTGAAAAAGGACGAAAAAAATAAATGTTAACAGATGTCATGATGCTTAGTAAAAATATATATGCCATGAGAACTAGTGAATATGTATTATATATTTATCTATAGTATACTCTTGAATAGTATAAATACTTATATATTTATTATAGTATATTCTTAGGAAGTTAGATTCTATTCTTGATAGATCACAATGCCTAGAGGATTGTGATAAAGAAAAAGGCTCTTTTTCCTTCTGTCGTCACTTTACATAACACAGTCGATGCAGCTTATCCAGATTGCGCCACTTCGCATGAACGTGGAAATCGAAGAGTTACTTATTATATTTATCACCACACAAATAATTCTTCAAACAACATATACGTGTGTGTGTGTGTATGTACCTATATAGACAAATAGTAGTAGTAGTATATATACTTTTTTACATGAAAAAAAGCGAAGGTAAGGCCGCCGATCGACGATCTTATCGATCGAATGTTCTTTCAAGAGTTCCTTGCACCTGTGCGCACCATTGCAACATAATTTAACAATTATACTGCAATCGATGACGTTACGTTCTGCAAGCACCGTGCAAAAATAAACGATATCATTGAAAAACATTCGACACACTGAGTTAATCGAGCTTGCCCAATCACTGATTCCCAGCCAACACAATCATATTTATCGCTGACCATTCTAACTAAATGTAAATCACCGGATGGTAGGGGCCATTATCGGAACAAGGATCTATCGGGCTCTTAAAAACGTATTATTGAAGTACTTAACGGCTCATAATAAAGTAATAAACGTTTCAAATCTTAGTTTCAAGTTAGACAAAAATATTTCTATTTTCTATACAATTCTATACAATCTACCTATACAATCTCGATTATCTTTGATCGTTTAAAACTTCACGATATGAACAATGTAAATATAAATCTGTTCTTAGCATATATAGATAAATATTTTTCTAATAGATAAATCATAGACGATTATATAAAGTTAAATCTTTATTATACATTTAGACACTTATACGCCTAATAAATAAATCATAAAATAGATATTTTGGATCACCATAAATATTTGACTTACTTTAGATCGCTATAAATAATTTGTAAGCTTTGCAAATGAAAAAAAAATAATGTTGAATATATACGATAAAACTGATCAAAATAACATAATACAATAAGAAAAAGGGGTAGGAGGAGGAGGGATAGGAGGGAGAAATCGAAAATTTTGTTTAACAGGCTACACCATGATTCTACGGTTAAACGTTATTCTAACGGTCGTGCTTTGAATTTTGGACGTCCGAAAAAGCTTGCTGGATACGCACGTAATACATATGTACATGCGGCCCGTTGACTTGGGACCTACACCTTGACATTCGACCGACGAACGGAGAAAATCGTGTCAAACGCACCGCACTCGTGACTTCCTCGACCTAAATTTTAATTCACACACAGCGGCGCTATTAAAGGATAGAGTGACGGAGACAAGAATAGCTTACGCGAGAATATACATTCTTTTTCTCTTTCTCTTTCTTTATTTTCTTTGTTTTTGTTTTTCTTTTTTTCTCTTTCTTTTTTCTCTTCATCTTTCTCTTCCTTCTTAACGCTCACTTTTACCGCGACTGACGACACGATGAAACGTAAGATTTTTGCTGACAAATTTCATCATTTTTCTGTAATTCTAATTGTCACGTTGACTAGCAATTTTCAAACACACGTTTGTTTCAATTCATTGCATAATTTTGTTGTTTAAAAAGTAAACATACCTAATTGTAAATTGTGTCATAAAATTATCCCTCTCATAAAATGATTTTTATGATTTTGATATTATATATGTAAATAATTTTAAATTCGAAAAATTTAATAATAGCAGCATTATATTAAGCGATAAATTTATTAATATTTTATAATAAATTCATTGCTCATCTTAACAATATCCTATTACATAATTGATTTTCAGACGAAAGTAAAAAATTTCGATAATAAAGATCTCGATAAAAACCTAAGAAAGTTACAAAAGAAATATATTCATACATTACATTTGAGAAGAAGCTTTGATAGCTAAAAAGAAACTCACTATAAATACGTAAAAGTTTTACGATAGAACATACGGAAGAAATAAAACTTCTCTTTATTCGAAGCGAATTGATTTTACATTTACGAGATTAATTAAAATATTTATTTACATTACATAAATATAATTTACTTGAAGTGAGGGGGAGGTAATTCATTGAATCAAACCAAAGGGGTAGAAATTAAGATTGATTTTTGCTTTGGTAAAGCGCGCAAACGATAGGAACGATGTCACGATTTCGCGCGATCTCTTTTTTTTCTTTTTCTTTTTCTTCCTTTTTTTTTTTATTATTCCATTCCGCGCTCGCCAAAGAAAAAGATAGCGTGGCCAGTGGTGTGTGCCGAGGCATAACATACTGCAGCCACCGGTGGCATTACCACTTCGTTACGCTCCTGTATTTTTCCGAAACTTTATATTCCTACATTGCGTTGCTCCGTTGTGTTTCGTTGCGGAGAAGGCCGCGAACCGTGGCAAAAATTAATGATGACGCGCGGACGTATAGCACCAACCGTAATTAATAACACTACAAATAATACCGAATAAAGTATTAGTTACGTATGTTGAAATTCAGGAAGATACGTATATATGTACGTACATACGTATGTGTATATGCATGTATAGGGTGAATTAGGAATCTCAGTAAAACTGAGAAAAGGGATGATTTCAACTGAAAAAAAATAAATAGAAATCATGAAAGTTTGATACTTAAGAAAGTTAATTTGAAAAGTCTTTTGAGTACAATTACATTTACAATTAGCCACGATTTTGATTGAAAAAAAGAATTGTATTCTACAATTTCGACTAATTCTTTTAAGAGAAATCACATGTCCATTCTAGTTGTATAAAAATTACTGGTCCATACAGAACACAAGACACTTTGCAGAATTTCATTTTTTGAAACTTTCGCATCCTTCAACCTGTCTCACAAAAGTAAAGATCTATGGTGTAAAAAGGGCAATTGAAAGGAAGTTTACAAAGAGAATAAGAGAAAAAGAGTCACACGGAAGTAAAAATTTAAAGAATTGCGGTCGACCAACGGTTGAGAAAAGCCGACCGATGTTCTCGCTGCTTTTCAACTTCCTATTTTGTCCAAGGGTGGTCTTTGCCTCCTGTGGTTCCATTCGGTGTTCCGCCAATTCGATCTCAGTAAAAATCTTCGCGCTCTCGAAACTTTTCTCAATAGAACCTGTGTCTCTTTGGCAGGTATCCCAATCTATGGTTAACCGAAAATTTTGCAACCGAATCCAATCTAATTTTACGATAGTATTGCTAGCTACTCTTTACACCAAAAAAAACTTTTCTATTTTGTTACGGTTGAAGATATAAATCGAAGAACCTTTTTGATTTTACAAATTTGGGGTGACTTACCATCGATTGAGATGAATCCGAAACTTTTTTCTTCAAAACAATAATATATAATATATACAGTATGTATAGAATATAAATATATATATATATATGCACACATATATAGTATATAAATTCTACAAAATATTGTTTAAACAGACATTCGATCGTTTAAATAACATTGTTTAATAAAAAAGTGAATCTTGATGAAATAGTAGAAGAAAATTACGAAAGATGATCTAAAAGTGTATATCTATATACACTTTATTATATATCTATATAGCCTAAATCTAATTATTCGTTGAAATAACAAATATAAGATTATATAAAAAATTATATAAACCATAAACATAACACAAGAAGATTAATGAATTATTATAAAATATTTACGAAATAATGTTATTAATAATTATCTCATAATATAATTGGTATGATCGGTCTTTTGATTAAATTACGTGGGTGTCCGTAGAAATAACGAAGCTTCGTACGGTACATACATACATATATACCCTAGAAGGATTCAGGGCAGTATGCCAGCGCGGTTCGCGGGGTAAGAGAGGATAGGAGGATAAGATGTGGTAGGAGAGAGGAGAAGAGAAAGAGGAAGGAAGACACAGAAGCTCTCCTTCTTCGAGTTACGAGCATCGAAGAGTAAATTCTCCGTGATCCTCCTCTTCGCCTTCCCGATACTCGTGGCCCATAGGCCCGTCACACTCCGTAGACCGGCCTAACCGGCCCAACTATCCAACTATTCGCTTAGACAGAGAGAAGCGAGTCCTCTTCACTTTTACCGCGAAACGAGCTAAAAAGCGCGAGTTACTCGTGCCACGAAACGTTCCTCTTCTCTCTTTTTTGTCTTTCTTCTTCATCTTCTTTTTCTTCTTCTTATTATTATTATTATTATTAACTTGCATTCAACGCATCCACGACGAATATTATTTCCTCATAATATGGTACAAATTAACTGTGTTATAGAGGGGTTGCCTGTATATATAATAGGATACTTAATCCTAAACTATAGTAAATAACAAGCACTCATAAACCACTATATTCTTACTTTTTAAATCCTATTTTAAATTAAATCCTATATACTTCAAATGTTATTTACGGCGATCCGAGAAATCTATTGCATTTTCGATTTTATTTCTCATCAATAGTAAATTAAATTTTGTTGATATCAAAGATGCATAAATTAATACGATCCCGATGTGTTTTCGCCGTCCTGGCTGACTCAGGGCACCTTCCTTCATTGTTTTGCTTTCTCTTTCGGGAATGGCATGCTCTAATTCCTTCGAACGCAAAGCTGTTCGTTCATCGTTCGATGGATGCGTCCTTTGCTTTTTATTTCTTCGTTTCAATTTGCTTGAAGACCGTTCCCAATTGAATCGATCGATATCAGATTGAATAAATCAATTATTTTTACGGAAAAATTGTAATAATGATAAAATAATTTTGAATAAATTTTATCTACCAATCGTGCTATTCCAAAAAAATATTCCGTTAAAATTTGGTACAATAGATTGAAATAGAAGGTAATAGAAGAGATCGAAAAAGTTGTAAAATGAGAAAAAGAAATATATATATATATATTGCATTAAATTAAGAAGTACAGTACATAAGAAAATAATGTGTATAGATATACATTCTCTAAGTTATTAGGTAACAAACGTCTTATTAAAATTACATTTTCCAAAAATAATCTTCCTTTTTTTTAGGTATGTCTAACTTTGTGCAGTTTCACTTTTCTTAGCATCAAATTACTATCACATTTATCCATATAACAGCACTCTGAATTATATATATATATATATAATACAATGATGAAGAAAATATATTATTTTACAAATTATTCAATATGATTGTTTCCTATTTGTTATTCGAAATATTATGCTTATATAAAATCAATAGAAGTTGTGTTATATATAAAAGGAAATAAAAAATATAACATTATCTTCAGGTACGTCGCATACAATTGAAAGATCAAATTTAACAAGGACTGAAAAATGCAATCACAAAGCGACCTCTCGTGAAAAAAAATAATTCACAAATCTTTGCACGATTAAATCGCTAAACATGAGATTTTGAGCTCCATCTCAAGATCAAAACACCTAAGAATAATATTTCTTGATTTCTTTGAGCAAAGGTGTCTCTGTCAACTCATTTATTTCAACAAATCTTTTGTTAGCTCTACTAAAATAATAAATGTCGCCTGTATAAATATCAAACCATAACGCATGAATATGTAATTCGTGCCTCTCTAATCTTTTCTTTAAAAAACCATAAGAGGCTATATTTTGAAGCTGTTGCAATGTATTGATCTATTCACAAAACAATTAAATATTAAATTAAATTCATCTTTAATGAATAAGTATCTATCTATCTATTGTCACTTACTTGAGACAATTTGTCTTCTATGGCAAACTTATTTTCAGGATCAATGTAAACAACAAATTTCCGTAATGGCGTTTCTGCTTGAAATAGAATAGGCTCGCGAAACCCAGTGATTTCAAGCTGTTGAAATTTAGCTAAACTGCTACTGGCATGTGCGCATAACCATGCTCTTAATGGTGATATCCTTCGATTCATCTGAAATTCAAATATTATTTCTTTTTCTATGACAATAGTCTGATAATGCACATATATGTATATGTTTGACATGATATAAAAAGAAATTCTACCTGAGAGGCAAATTCTTCATCCTTTAATGCATACAATAAATTCATAGCTTTACAATCGCTATGCCCACAAACTATAATATGTTTTATGTCATTGACAACACAACCAAGTTCCAAAGCAGCTGGCTCGCACATAGTGAGTTCATCTGCGAAATGTTGAGAATGTGGAATCAGATTTCCTGCATTTCTCACTAAAAAAAAAAAAGAAAGAAAAATAAATTCCTTAAAAAATCAAAATTGACATCACAAATAATCGACATTTTCATTGTTTAGCAACAAATGTACTTTGATACTTTAAAGGTGCCATTCTCAAATAAGACTAAAGACAAAATTTTCTTACATTAATCAATGAAACTACAGTGCATAACATCATGTAATTTATAATACTATATATTCCTCAAATTGCATTTGTTCAATTAATATTCATTTGAGAAACGTCACCTTATAGACAATCTTCGATACACCACAATGCATTAGAAATTCCAGATTCTTCATATAGAAATAGTCAAATAGCAGACATAATGTGTGATAGTGTCATAATGAAGTCTCGTACCGACAAACATATCTCCAACATTAGTTTCCGTAAATCTAGTTGGTATCATCCGGGAATCCATGCAGGTAAAGAATACTGCTTTTGGCTATGATAAGAGGAACGACAAATGTCAATTATAAAATAAATAAAGTCGAATATTCATGTTCAAATAGAATTATCGATCGTATCGTTGTACCTAAGTAATTATCAATAACGCGGTTCCTATCGTAAAATTTGTATCGTTATTTATTTTCTTATCTTCTTTCTTACGTAATATAATCTACATAAAAAAAAAAAAGAAAAAAAAGTCCTCTCGATTTTAAATAAATCAATAATATTAAAGTTAGCGCGAATCTACGTCAAAGAAAAAAAAAGAAAAATTTTACATTAAAAAAATATTAAGTAGATAACAAAATTTCCTAATTTACTTTCTAATCAATAACATAATCAGTCGATAAAGTAGAAAATCGTAAAGGTTACCATATATAATAAATATGTCAAAGGGCATTTAAGAAACATATGAAACATTTTTCATTACTACACAAAAAAAGAAAAAATTTATCAATAGTTCACAAGTTAGAAACAGTTCAGGGACACAGTAATTATTGTTAATGTAATTTGTAACGAATTGTCAATTGTTTTTAATAATAACACATTATTTTTACTGATTATTTGAATTATTCAATATCTATATCACATGCAATTATTACTTTTCATAATTAACTTATAAATAATAAATAGGTTAGAGGAAAACACGTGTAATCAAGTAATAAATTATCATTAAAAAAGAATATTAAATATATCATAAATAACGTACCTCGGGATGATCTTTGACTTTTTGAAATTGTTTCACCATTCCTTCTCTATGACATTGTCTATATTTCATTATACCTTTAATTATTCTATCCATTATTACGAATCGCGTCGGAAAAGACTAACTGTCTTGCTTACGTTTAGAACGATGACAATACACAAGTCCGCCATTTGTCGATTTAATGGCGTGAAGTTTGAAACGTTTATCAATCTTATCTCTCAATTATTGATCGACTATTTTTCCAAAGTATTGACAGTATTAATAAAATAAAGCCTATATTTTATATTTATTCGCATAATTAGAAAATACATAATCTATTCACATATAAATGCAAAGTTATTAGACTATACTTACTTTATTTATATTTAAAAACAATTACAGCCGTTAATCCATAATATCAATCATAGATTAATAATTACTTTATTTATGTGCGAGGCAGCGCAATTCAAATTTAATATTTGATTTAACACATTTAAGATAAAACATACAGGCATGTATTAATATTAATATCATATTGTTGAGAATGTATTGTAATCATTCATTTACTCCTATAACTTGATAAACTTCATATCTTGATTGTACGTCATTTTAATAAACTAAATATACAGTATAAGAAAATATATATATATATATATATTTTTGAGAAGATCATAAGAACCGCTGTATAAATTCAATGTCAGATATTCCTATAACATCGAACTACAAGAATACTGTTCAATCTAAAAAATGAAATAATTCAGGATTCAAAATCAATGATATATTCATCATAAATAATTCAAACAAAATATTTTTTTATGGCTGTTGATACTGGATTACTTGTTACAGGTTTACATGGATCCACAATTATCATGAGATGATACAGAATCTTACAGCATCATCAAACATAGCAATTAATTGTGAGGAAAAAATTAAGAAAAATTCCCTGTATAGTTATTCATATTCCTGTCATGTATGCTCATAATAAAAGCTGGATATTATAATTATTCGATGAATTATTTTCAGCAAATAGATTGCCGAATATTGGTCATTCCATCAGACTCTTAGATTCAACAGTCATTAACAGTTTGGACCCGGGTGACAATGCGCCTGGGTCGAGCTGATTTCTATCTACTTAATGCTGAACTTTGACTAGCACGTTCTAATTTTTCAAAATGTTTACGTGCATTACGAATATTAATTAATGTTGCTGCCGATGCTTAAACAGAAAATTATTTGAAATGAATTAATTATATAAAACAATAGCTTTCATATAATATAATTATCAAAATGACAAATACTTACGAATAGCTGGATCTGACATGATAACTGTCACATATGTGTTTGATGTAAATACATCTATGAAAGCAGCAAAATTACTATTTCTTACCTCCATGCTTTGAAATTGTGCTGCTAACTTACTACAAAAAAAAAAAAAAAAAAAAAGAATTATATACATCATTTATTGAATATATAATAGATTTTATTAAATATTATATTCCTTTTACCTGCAACTCAATTTAAATTGTTTTATAATATTGGAAACTTTTTCAAAACGATGTACGTCCCTGTGAAGCTGTCTTTCACAATGACTGATTAAAAGAAATGTTGCTCTTTCAAATAACAGTACTTCGTCTGCATCAATTATTTTTGCAAATTGATTTAAACTTTGTTCCAATTCTTCTACATTAGGTATCAACATATAAACAATAGAAGACCATGCTCTGTAAAATCAATGATTCATAATAAATAGAAGCAATAACATATTAAATAATAAGAAATATATACAGATAATAAGTTATATGTGAAATTTATTTTAATCTGAGTTCATACCTATATAAAGTTTCATCCCATATACTAGTTCTAAAACAAGTGCATCCAAGCGGTAAGCTCAGTCTTTTGAGATCTTCCTCCCTTTCTCGAAGTATCAAATCACGTTGATCCTCTTGAACTAAGTCCATTTTGTGGACAAGACAAAAGATCTTTGCATCAGGACTATTTTGCAATATTGCTTCTAAACAATTCTGATAATAATGCATATCTTTGTCTAATTCTCTTGATTCTACATCGAAGACATAAATTAACACCTCTACATTTCTGAATATATTATCACGCTGAGATGCAAAATAATTTTCCATGAAAGCTTCTTGACCTCCACAATCCCAAAGATTTAATACCAAATTTCCAAGGAAACGAACATGACTGTGTTCTACATCAACTATTATGAATATAACCAAATTAATAATATAAAATCAATAACAAATCATAATAATACATTTTAAATGCTTACTTGTTGCACCTAAGCGACGAGTATCACGTGCTATATAATTGGCAAAAATAATACTACGCATACTCGTCTTTCCTGAGCCACTTTTACCCATCAACAAAACCTAAAGAATATACATGTATGTATATATTATATATGTACACTAAAGAAAATTGATAATAGTCTTTTATTATTAGCTATACTAATACTTTGTAATATAAAGTCATTGTACCTTTTTCTTCATCTTGGATCTCTAGATTAAATTCCTTTAAGTAACACTATTTATGATAATAACTTGTCTATGATGAAATCTTATTAATTAATCGATTAAATGTAGAATAATCAACTAACTAAATAATTTCCATAATAACAAGCATATGTCAAATCTCATTTGAGGTTATACAATTTTATTTAAAAATGATTCAAAGAATTGTAGAACTGATACGCCCTCCTCAATAGAAGTAGCAATAACCACAAATAATAATATTCCTTTTATAAGATAATGAATCACAATACAAAGAAAATTCGATATTGCTATACACAAATACACAGAAAAAATTACATCTACTAACAATGAGTATTACATATATTATTCTGGTGAAGTCGTTATCATTACCTATATAGAGATAACTTTTGCGTATTAATCATAAATAAACAGCAATAACAAAAGAAACTTTTATCTTGTATAAATCATTATAAAATCTGTAATATTTTAAATTAAATTTATTTTATTCTTAAATGATAATTGAAATATAGACTAACGTTGAATAAAATCTCTTATGTATTAAACTTCAAGTGTATGTTAACTTTCATTTATACAAGATATAAGAAATTAAAAAAATTCGTTAAAATATATATAACAAGTCAGAATGATATTAAATCAAATAAAATGAAGTTATTATTCACCACTTTCTGTTAAACTCGAAAGACATTGCATAAAGTTCACATTATGTTTCTCCTTAACCAATCAGTATCGCACCACGTTTGACCTGGAATTTGCTGATTGGTTAATTGTTTTTATTTACTAACCAATAAATGATCTCATTATAGTGGCCCGTTCAAAAACCGCGTTTTTTATATTCATAATTTTAGAATATCATTATAAATATTCGAAACTATTGCAGAAATTGATAGAAAATAACAAATCAGAAAAAATTTTCATAATAAAAATCATGATATAAATTTAATTGATTAGATAAATAATTATCAATAAAAAATGTATTTATTATAAAATATGAAAAGAATCTAACGATAATACATCATCACCCGATTAATCAGATAATAAAAATAAAATTTACATAAGAGAAATAATAATAATAATAATAATTCGTTTACTACTTCGTGATTTTCTTCTATTATTACAATTATTATTTGTTTCGAATATAAATGAAATAAAGTACATTTGCTTTATTACGTACTGTCATTCCAAAATGGCGACAACGTCATTTTAATGTTCTATCATAATGTAAAAGTAAACGAATTATATAAGATTCATGAAAAAATGATTATATTTGAATTTAACGTTAAGACATCGAATTATACGCATGTGACAACGCGCATACATGCGGTTCGAAAGTGTACAAAGAAATATGTGCTATATAGCAATCTGTACACATACATAACCATTAACGGCAATAATCATGTATGTATTGCGAAAAGAGGTACTAGCACTGAAAGATGGAGTGTAGCGGGAAAGGAAAAAGGGGATAGGAAGAGTGAAAGCGAGAAAAGATGAAAAGAGAGAAACGATAAAGATAGAAGGTATCACCGCACTAGAGAGAGGAAAAAAAATAATAAAAAAAAAAAGTAAAGGTAGAAAGGAGAGAAAGGATAGAGAGAGTAGGAAAGAGGTAAAAAAGAAATAGCAGGATATTCTAGTGTGGCGGCGCTTGTGCAGTGTAGAGAGCCGCCACGGCGGTGATTCGAGCTTCTTATCGGTCTCGAAAAGACCCGTAGGAAGAAGAAGGAAAAATAAATAGAAAAACCGATCGTCGTCGGGCTGCGATTATGAGCGCGAAATGAAGTAGCATCGATAAAGGAACGAAGCGCCGCGTGATTCCACCTCCGCCGTGTCCAAGCGTGGCACATCACGGATGTGTGGCTGAAGCGGCGCCATATATATACGGTATATATCGTATTCATTCCTTAGCGAGTGCGGCCAAGTACGGCGGTGGTGGCAGATAGAAAAGGAGAAGAGAGTGGAACCGCGACTGTGGCGGCTGCTCCTGTGTATTGGGTGGGGGCGAGAAAGATAGCCGCGACGCGACTCTGAGAAAGAAGAGAGTAGAAAGCAAGTAGAAGGAGAAAGATTCGTGGATACGGCGGGGTGCTTTGCCTGCACCCGTGCGTGAATCACGCTTCCGAGGCGCCCGGCTGTCCCCCGTCTTCAAGTATACCCCATCGTCGCGACATTGACCTGTTCGAGGACGCCGTTCGTTCTTAACGATACCAAGAGAAACGGATTTTCTCCCTTCTTTCCCATTTTGGAGCAACCTTTTAAGAGTGACACCCACGAGGTGGGAGGGGAGGCATCTTGCTATTCGTTCCGATCCATGTCTTCTACCGGTTTATCTAATATCTTCCCTCTCATCTACGATACGTAATTTAATCGAGCGAAGATTCACTGAAAAAAGGTCCTCACTTCATCAAGGAAAAAATCATTTTTGTAATATGATAGTAGTGTTAAATGAGTCTTAGAACCAGTGTTATTGCCAGCAAGATTTCTAGTATACTGTGATTAAACTCTTTAATTTGTAAAACTCCAAGAAATAAGACTGTTGATTGAACTCTGAAAAGCATCGTTGTGAATAATTTCATTTCTATAATAGAATATCAGAAACGCAGCCACGAAAAATAGACTGGCAACAAAGAGAAAGAAGCAGGTGCAATATGTCAGACGAAGAAGATAAACCTCCTGCACCTCCTGTACGACTGACATCTAATAGGTACATGTGCTTGTCATATTTGTACATACTTTCATTGCCAAACATCATATTACTTTGTATCATCTGATCTTTTTTACTGGATATTGATTAGCTATTGCTACGCTTAACTTTAAGCTCATAATTAATAAAAAGGAATTTAATAACTATAACAAATTGTAAATAAGGATTATGGGTTTGACATTTTAATATTGCTATCTCATAACACACATATATAGTATTCTCTTATGTATTTTACAAAGTTCTTAATTATATGTTTCTACATATGAACAAAGAAATGATAAAAAGTATTGCTATTGTATGTTGGTAAGCTGATAATCAACTATCACCACAATTATAATCAACAATTTTGTGATAGTTAATAATTTTATTGTTTTCTTTATAATATATACAAGTCTGAGTCTTCCAAAAATAGAAGAACTACCACTAATTTAGTAGTTGCTAAAAATAAAATCTCTCAGTTCAGATACGTTGACATTCTAATGTAGGGGGCCAAGTTTTAAAATCTGAGTATGTTATTTGAGTGATACATTTATCACATTTAAAAAATGTACACAAATTTTATCTTCAATGAACTTACAATATGTAAACAATTTTTTTATCAGTTTGAGAATATTTTTTATATTTGTAGAAACAACAATTCAAATGATCTTAATCTAAACAAATATAGTATATTTATTGATTTTTATTTCTATTATATCTGTTACATCTTTTAGTAAAATAACACATATACATTCTTTCTATGAAATTTTACATTAATAGCTTATTTATTAAATCAAATAAAAAGGTATTAAAACTAAATAATGAATATGTTGTAGAGGTGAATCTGCACCAAATTTGCCAGTGGATATGCGCCCACTACCTAAAGAACCAGATTCAGATGAACGTAAGAAAAAGACATTGAAAGGCAAAATGAAGGTGAAAGAAAATAAAGATAAACCAAATATCAGTTATCCAACAAATTTTGAACATACAGTACATGTTGGATTTGATGCTGTTACCGGTGAATTTACGGTATGTTTCATTATTGTTACTTACTTTTTAACGTCGTTTAAAATGCACTCGCTTCCTGCTTTGCTGTTGTACCATGATACGGAATATCCAAATAATATGATATATGATAAATAAATGATAAACAATATAGAATTTAAAATATTCATATGGATATTCCGTATCTACAGAAATTAAATTTCAAACATTTTTTCACATACGTATGGACATTGTGGAACGGTAATTTGGTAATTTGTCTCAGCTTCTTATACATATTATTTTCTCACATGAAAAACTAACTAGACACTATTTCTTTCAAGCTGCCACTGAAAGTAAGTAAATTCAAATGACCACAGACTTACTTTGCCTGTATTTTATCTTGTACATACATCTTGTTTAAAAGTTTGTTTTCGTTGCTGTTGAGAAAAACTAATTCTTTCGTTCAATTCAAACTGTAAGATATGTTATAGACTTCATAAGCATAAATGCTTTTGTAGATTAATATAGGCTTTAGGCAACATGGCATCTGACATTATTGCTTTCCTGCAGAATGAATCTTGGTGAACGTTAAATTGTATTAAAAATTTATTGAATATATTAAATGAAACATACAAACCTTACATTTGCATGTTTTATCCTAAAATATCCATTCTTAATAATCTATCTCTTCCCTATAATTTCTTCAAATTCTTTAGCAAGTAGGATCTGTCTAGCCAGCATTGTCTACCTGTTACATTTGACTTCCTCTTATTATAATATGACTATGACTTCTACGGTTTAAAATATAATATTATCATCCATAGGGAATGCCAGAAGCTTGGGCAAGACTTCTCATGTCCAGTAATATTAGTAAACAAGAACAAAAGAAAAACCCACAAGCAGTCTTGGATGTTTTAAACTGGTATGATAGTAGCAGTAAAGAAACAAAAGGTTCTAAGTACATGACTACAACTAAGATGGTTGGAGTTGTAGGTAAGTTTATAATATAAATTTTCTTTTTTATAAGGAAAAAACTTTTGTACTTGTTATATTAATAATACAGATATCATTCAAACTGCACACCCAGCTCCAATAGAAAGAGCAAGTAGTCCGCGAAGTATGGGTGTTACTGTTGGTACAGGTGTAGGTACTATTCGTGGTCAGGCAATGTCTCAGGCTTCAGGAAGTTCTCACTCTCAACATTCATTGAGCAGGTGAGCCTTTTACAATCTTTACATTATGAAAAAACTATTAGTTAAATATTTGCTGAGAAACAATAACATTACAGAGTAAGTAGCAGTAGTCCCAGTAGTACACCAACTGATGCTTGTGCAACTAGTTCTGAACAAGAAGATGAACCACCACCTCCGCCTATTTCTGCTAGACCAGAACGTACAAAGTCAATAGTAAGTTTTCTAATATATACAATGATGAAAATATGAGATAATTATAAGATTGATTTTATAAAATATTAAATTTAAATATCCAGTATACAAAGCCTATAGAAGAAGAACCACCTCCACCACTGGCAACTACACTGGGGTCACCTCAAAGGAATGGAACACCACAACAACAACAACATCAATCACAGTTAGATAGAAATAAAAATCAAGCAACACCGACATCAACTACGACTGATCAAACACGACCAGCACAAAGTGATAAAGCAAGAAAAAAGAAAATGTCGGATGATGAAATACTAGAAAAGCTTAGGACAATTGTAAGTGTGGGAGATCCAAATAGAAAATATACAAAAATGGAAAAAATAGGACAAGGGTAAGTCACAAATATAAATTTTATAATATTTTGTTTACTGTATAATATCTGAGAAAAAAAAAAGAACAATAAATATATGTTTACCATCAGTGCTTCAGGTACAGTGTACACAGCAATTGAAACATCAACAGGAATGGAAGTTGCGATAAAACAAATGAATCTTTCACAACAGCCGAAAAAAGAATTGATAATAAATGAAATTTTAGTTATGCGGGAGAATAAACATCCGAATGTTGTAAATTATTTGGATAGTTATTTAGTAGGAGAAGAATTATGGGTAGTGATGGAATATTTACCTGGTGGTAGTTTAACTGACGTCGTGACTGAAACTTGTATGGATGAGGGCCAAATAGCTGCTGTATGCAGAGAAGTCTTACAAGCATTGGAGTTCCTTCATTGTAATCAGGTTATACATAGGGATATTAAGTCTGACAACATCCTACTTGGTCTAGATGGGGGTGTAAAGTTAACTGATTTTGGGTTTTGTGCACAAATTTCTCCAGAACAAAGTAAAAGAACTACAATGGTTGGAACTCCATATTGGATGGCACCTGAAGTAGTTACAAGAAAGCAATATGGTCCAAAGGTAAATAGATATTAATTATTATATATAATAATCGGTTGATATTAATTATTAAGGTATTAAATTAAAATTATTGAAAAACAGGTAGATATATGGTCATTGGGAATAATGGCTATTGAAATGATAGAAGGAGAACCACCATATTTAAATGAAAATCCACTAAGAGCATTGTATTTAATTGCAACAAATGGAAAACCAGAAATTAAAGAAAAGGATAAATTATCTGGTATCTTCCAAGATTTCTTAGACCAATGTTTAGAAGTTGAAGTTGAAAAACGATCTGCAGCTTCAGAGTTATTAAAGGTAATACAATTGAATTAATAAAGGGTAGTTGTTATGTTTAATACTGTTATTATTGTACCATTAGACACATTTGACATTCCTTTACAGCATCCTTTTTTGAAGTTAGCAAGGCCACTAGCCTCCTTAACACCTTTAATTATGGCAGCAAAAGAGGCTGCTAAAGGTCATTGAAAGAGTAGTGAAAGACTATGGTCAAAAGTGATCATAAATATGACTATGTGAAAGAATAACGAACCACCCTCCCAAAACGGAAACGGCACAATAATTCAATAATATATATGTAATAAATAAACATATATAAATATATATATATATATATAAATATATTATATATATATATAGATCATAAATAGATAGAACTTATCCGATACGTGAAGAGTATCGAGAAATGGTTTCAAAGTTTTTAAATTGCTCGACTCTCGCATGTTGTGAGGAGAAAAAGTTAAATCAGAGAAACTGTGAACGATCTGACGGCAGAGACCTTGTTTGCCTCGATGATGTGTATTGATTGCTAAAAATTTCTAACGTCAAATTAAGCAGATGTTGAAAAATGAAAGAATGTAAGTTGACGTAAATATTGCCTGAAAAGCTTTTTTTATCAACATTCATCATCAAGGATAGATAAGTGTCTGTCAGTTATTTTCTAAAGATGTAAAAATAGTATTATTGACTCTAAAGTTGAAGATCAGAGTTAGCTACAAACACACATTATTTATAGCAAGGATCCTTATTAGGTAATACCATAAACAAATGTGAACAAGTACATAAGACTTATTCTAATACATTATTATGGTTTGACAAAAAAAATTGTAGGAGAAAAGTAAATTGGTCTTCATGTCAGACTTATATTTTTCGAATGAAGTTATGAGGAGCAGAGCAATATGTTTTCAATCTTTTTGTCTGTCAATATGACATAGATATATATATAAGCGATAGCCTAACTTGTTTTAAACGTTCTCAAAAGTCACGTTCTTATAATCAGATGTTATTACGCAGAACTATGTTTTATTAAACTAAAAATGCCTTAACTATTTTCTTTTATCTTTAATATCACAATCATCGCATTGTGTTAGTACATATATATCTATTTCTACATCTATATATATATATATAGATATAGATATAGATATAAGTGTATATATATATAGTATCGCTAATTGAGTTATATTTGTGCTTTGTGCAGTTAGAGTATTTCATTTTTGCAAATCAAGATTATTGTTTTGTAATATTAAGATAAACAAAAGTAAGTACTTTTTCTCATTTGCATTGCTAAGACACGTTAAGATACATAAGGCCTTGTTACTAAAACATTAATTAATAAGAACATCCTAATATGGACAAACTTTGTCCGCTCACGTGTGTTCTTCATTACAGGTCAAATCTAACTATCATTAACGTGTCTTAAAACAAATGAACGGATGATCGATGAAATTTTAAAACAAGGTTCAAATGTAGGAGCATTTTGTGACACTATAAAGTGCCTGTTGTCATGTTTAGAAGCATGAGATATACATGCTAGATTCCTTATAATCTTGAACCATTAAAATGTATCATTTATTTTGATGAACCATCAGAAACCAACATGTAGAATCACGTCAACGGTTATATACAAGGTTTCCAAATGGTTATATTATATTAAACAGAGCAACTAAAATGTCTTTCCTAATTGTATTATATTTTCAAAGTATCATGTCATTACAATTAAAATTATCTATATTTAGTTTAAGGAACTTAGATTTTGCAATTTCTGTAATTTTTAATAATTTCATTATATATAGGGTTGCGTCATATGCGATTTTTGACACTTAAAATAACTTCATGAGAATGCAGTAATTATTGATACAAAAGAAATCACCAATATATTACATATGAAAGAAATGAAAAGAAAAAAAAAAGCAAAAACATATAATTATTTCCTTAAAAGAAATATAATGTATTTAATATTCAGCAGTTTTATTCTTTCATAGAACTGTCAATAAGAAGCCTGATTTGTTTTTTAATAACAATTAGTAAAGTCTAATTAACAATTGACAGACAAAATGGCTCGATTTATGTCGTGCTTATGACAAATATGGAGTCATGCTAAAATTGGATAAAAAAAACTATTTTTAAAAAATCAGGGACTATAATATAATGTATTATTTTTGTGTGTCAGTATTTCACAAGAATAAGCATCGCATGTATTAATTTTCTTTCAGTAATTACTCTAAATTAATTGAAAGTAAATGATGTGTTAAGCAACATAAAAAGGAAATAACTGCACATTTAGTATTAATCATCATGTAAACGAATTTATAAATTAGGATCCAAATAAATTAGCTCGATCAGGAATAACGAGCGAGGTCTTGCATTTTCACAAATATCTTCAAAGGGATTATATATATATAGATATATATGTATGTATATGTATATATATACCATCCATTTTGTCTGATCATATTATTATTATGACAGTTATAAAAGATATTTCTTCTCTCAGTTCATAGGTATTTACTATTAAGATTTATTTTTTAATGATAAATCGAGATGCATTAAATATATAAAATATACTTGATCATGTCCAAATTTCAAAATACAAAATGTATTTAGATGCATAATTGTTCGCAAATGATCATCTTGTTAATGAATCTGTTCACATAAACAAAAGTACAAAGCTTGTACCAAAACATGCCTTACTGTAATAAAAATATAAGTATTCTATTAAAATAAAATAATCATTATTTTTTTGATGCGGCAAGATTAGATAATTAAACTGATAGATTTTGAGAGTAGAGATTATAAAATGCATAGACAAGTATTATTTTCTATACTTGCATCTCGATTAACGTTCCATGTGCATTTAAGTATTTACATAAGAAACGTATTATTGTCATTTTGTAAGTATAAAATAGGTTCCTACTAAAATCAGGTTAAGTGTGTATATGCATGATTGCGTGCTTATGATGTTTTTGAAAATGCTTTGAGATCTCTAAATGAAAGAACCAGGCCTAGTAACAAAGATACTATTTTACTGAAAAAAATTGGTCAAAGTACATGGTTTCCAGTTTTTATCAAAACTATTTTATTTAAAAAAAAACGACAGCTAATATATATATATATATATATATATATAAAATTGCTTTTAAAGATTTTTAGTAATGAATGATTTCTCAGGAAAATATATATCTAAACGATAAAGAATCCAGAAATTGATTGAAACGGCAGATAAATAATTATTGTAAAAAAAAAAAAATAACGCCTAGAATTTTACGTATATATTGTACTGTAACACCTTTTAGTTTGTTTTGAAATGTTACAATATAAGGAAACATTTTGTAACAAACAATTATTATTTTATTACAATTTTCCCTTAATATACCCTTCCTTAATATCATGTCTCTATAGAAGAACAAAGGTTAAAAATAACAGTCAATTTGTTTCTTATAATGCTTTTTATATTATCAGGAATATATAGTAACTATTTATATATTACAGCTTTTATACACGTTTGTAAAAATAGTATGGACTCTTAAAAAATAATATTTTTATCACCTTTTTGTATTGATTATATCATAATTATATACATAAATAATGTGTTACACAATTCAGATCTGATTATAAAGAAACATATAATATCATGTTAGTTGAGTTAGAAATTGTTACATCAAGAGCAGTTGTATAATATGTATGGGGATGTTATATCTTATATTAAGTAAACAAATTTTTGCTTAGTTTAATACAATATCAGCATGGAAGCACGCTTTATAATTGTATATTGTAATGGATGATTGTGAAAGTTTAATTGACCATACTTATTAATAATATTAATATGCTAATTTACAAATATTATTAACGTATTATATATTCTACGTTACAATTAAAAATCTTGTTTTTAAACAAGAAAGCAGAATTGATGTAAAAAGATTCTTAACGAAATCTACTATGTTCAAAAGTTAAAGCAATCAGAAGAATCGTAAATGTCTTTGAGAAAATTTAATGTTAAAAGAAAAATTCTTGTTTAAGGAAATTTACTTCTTTTCTTCGCCTGCTGCATGAAAATGTATCGAAGCAGAGTTGATGCAAAAGCGCTTCCTAGTAGGTTTTGGACCATCGTTGAATACATGTCCCAGGTGTGCACCGCACTTTGAGCAGGTCACTTCAGTCCGCACCATATCTGGGTTTGCGATCAGCAGTAGTAGATTGCCACCAACTACAGGTCGTGTGGTGACGGGATTTTCGTGTTTCAATGGTGAGAGTGAAGTGGTGGTAGCGGAGCAGTAGGAAGACAAAGGAAAGACAATAATAGAGTGTGATTAAACGCAGACCCACACCCTTCTGAGTACACTTTCAATGCCTCCCAGCAATAGTAGTGGCGAAGAAGTAGACTTACAGTTAGATTAATTAATTTTTGTTATTTCACATGTTTTTATCTATCAAAATTACCTTGCACATAGCTATCCTTGAGTTTCCTCTGTAGTAATTGTAGTAACATTCACAGATTATAATACTAAACAAACACACCATTTATTTAATACAATATTGGCATAAATATTCATTAGAATCAAATTTTGAAATTACTCTATATATTGAATGTGATATTAATTTAAATTAAATATTAATTTTATTAACTTTAAAATAAGTAAAAATATTATATATATAATTTTATTTCTTCAAATTTTTTTAGATGCCTAATCTTTAAATATGGTCAATATTAATAGAGTTAAATAAATAACAATTGAATTTCTTAGAAATGTAACCATCCTATCTATAATACAATATTTCTTTTCTTTCTATACAATAATATTTCTTCTTTTTTATATAATCTTTTCATATAGCTCCATAAAAAATAATTATCATCTACACCACATATATTACTGCGACGGCTGTATTAGAAATAAAAATAACATTATTTAATTTTGATATTACTAAGGCCACAGTAAAATTATATTATAAGAAGCCACAATTACAAGTTATGTGCTATTTATTTGCAAATATTATGAGAGAATGCTATAACTACTATTTTTGTAAATTAATTAGACGAAAGATTTGTTTGCAATTTATGTCTAACATTTCAGTATAATAATAAAAAAATTGATGTAAGTCTAACACAATCACACTCTAAGCTGGACATGCAGGATATAAGGTATTAGGAATTCTGCCTTCCTTTAAACTTTATATCAAAATTTATATCTACAATCATTTTACCCATGTATAAATAAAGCCAGATCATAATATACTAAACATAAGTTATATATTGTTTAATTAATTGATTTAAACTATTTGAGAAATATACATGCACGAAATAATTAAACCAGTAGAAAATATTTTTACCATAATAAATATCCTATTGGTATATATTATATTATTGAAAATGAAAAAAAGATAGAGATTAGAGAAGAACTACAGAGAAGGCAATGAAATATAAAAGATACGGTTAGGAAGGTTTAATGATGGGTTAAAATTGTAATGTGTGAAGAGCGAAGACACCATAATAAGCAGGTAATGCTAAAAATCTAATCGTAGATATACTTAAGCTTTAATTCCCATTTAATCATTTTTATTTTCCATTCGATAATATCAGTTTACCTGCATATCGTTAGATATCCTCGTATGATGTAAGAATAGAATGAATAAGGAATACTACGTCATTATATCAAATATATGAGCATAATTGTTTGAGCTTTGTAAATAAAATAAAAAAGACTGTGCTTACCATGAGACGTATCTTTGGTTAACTTAATCCGTCCTTGATCTAAAACTTCATTAAATGCAGGCCAACCGCATCCACTGTCATATTTTGTATCAGACGAGAATAATTCCTGATCACAAACGATACACGTGTATGTACCGTTTTGATAAAATTTATTGTAGCAACCAGTGAATGGCCTGAGTAACACAGAAACAATTATAATACACTATCATCCGGTACCAAGTAAAAAGAGGTTAATTACAACATCCGAAATGTTATTTTTGAACTACTTGGCCATGACGTAAAGCAAGCGATCGCTCTTGAAAAAGTTATTTTTATCTACATATATAACTAAATTGGCCTTCACAATATTTCATTTACAAAAAATGAATTAATAAAAATATAAAACATATACTTGCCGAGATTGTATTTATAAATTATAAACGTTGTAAAATTAAGATCAAGATTTAATATAAATAGTATATGAAAAGAAAATTTTGAAAAAAAAAACGAAGAACAAAACTGCCACAAGCGACAATTTTGACTTCGGTATTATTATACCGTGAAACATAGAAAACGATATAGGATAAAGGAAGAGACAATAGTAATCGTCTTTTAAAGAGGCACGAATATATTTCGCAAAGATAATAAAAAGTACAACGCGTCATATAAGAGATTTAATATGTAATTGATCGAAATCCTCATAAATTTGAAGTAAAGAGCATGGTTAAGCAAAAAACATGGCTATTAACGAATGTCTAAAAAAGAAATATCATTGTCCTACCTCTCAGTTCCTTTTTCTTGTGTCACGTGCCACTGTAACGGCGTCAAACGTTTTTTCAGCTCGTCCTTATCAATTTCCGTCGTCATCCTTCTAATTGAATAACGAACACTTCTTAAAACGTCGAAGGGTAACCGAAATCGCGCCAGTTTAATGCGTCAAAATCAAAGACGTGGATAAGTATTACATATACGACCGGCGCGCGCGCTTACCGCGTTAAACGTACAACGACTGCCGCATCCTGCTAGATCGCGGGTAAATGTCGAGTTTCGAAATGGCACCGTGTGTGCGCCTTCCAGTTATTTGGCACTCGTAGCCCGCCACACGTCGATCATTTCCCCTCCTATGTGGCGCTTCGATCTCACGTCGAACGCGCCTTTTCTAGGGAACGATACCATCCTTCTTTCCTACTTCGTTGAAAACTACTATTTATAGAATTACGAAAGAATATCGTATTTAACCTTCTATTTCTTTTTAAACGTATACTAATACTTCACTCTTCCTATATAACATTTCTATTGTTACTTTTTACGTGATTTATCGATTTGATATTAAAAATTTTGCTTTAAGACAAAATTATTACGTTTATAATAATATGTAATGAAATTCAATTGTTGAAAAAATTTCGATATAAATATCAATGTTATATAGTATATTGATAAATAATTATAGTAACATATTAATATCCTTTTTATATTTTAATTTTTATCGATATCAGTGATAATTAGTGAAATATATTAAAATCATCATAATAAAAGTAAATAATTATAGGAAAATAGGGAGATAACGAAATATAAACGATTTTGTAACAAACTGTGCTTTAATCTGTTGTCAATACATTTACAATATACATTTACAATATATTTGTATATATTTATAAGTTTTGATAAACCGCTCTACAACGGTATACAATTCTCAAATACAGGGTTGATAGATAATATATATATATATATGTATATGTGTATATATATATATGTATATATATATATACACACACGACTGCGGTATGTTACATATCTTCTCTCTGGTGCGTAGCTATACACATAATATAGATAATGTTTTTCTCGTATTTCATAATTCTTATTCGTTCGTACTATCATGTACCAACGTATATATTAGCATGATCTTTCACCATCCAATTTATATTTTGGATTTTGAAAACTTACACACATCGAGCACATTATCTATAATAGATATGTATTTTATGTACAATGAAACGTGTCCTAACTTATAAATTAACTTATTTATATACTATATAACATACACTTGCGATAGTGCACTCAGTACTATACATAACTTGTTTCAAATCAGAAATCTGATATATTGATAAATCTATCATCATAAAAAAAAAAAAAAGAAGAAAGAAAACGAAGTAAAGTCAACCGCAGTTCCTCCCCTTCTATATATTTGAATATTGCATAAAATACGTCCCGACATATCGAAAAAACATGAAGAATGCGTATTACGCCGAGGAACTTTCGATAAAAGTTTACTTGAATGTTAGCTACACTTCATCTGTTTTGTAATTATTTTTTAAAAAACTATCAAAAATTCCTAATATTAAGGTGGGCTTATTTTTATATACATGCGCACATAATACGTTAATGAATAGAAACAGAAGTTTATACTGACAATCTGTAAAAATGCCAAACATATAGAGCATCATCATTAAAAGAAAACAGAAAAAAAGAACAAAAAATATGATATGAAATGAAACAATGAGTTCCGGTGGAAATATTGCTATGATTATAATAACAAAAAGCAATAAGTATCACCTTTTCGTTAATTGCATCAAAATAATAAAAGCATAAAAAATAAATGTTTACTACACATTATTATAATTGTCACTTGTTATACTCATCACTACAATCATTTCTCTATTACTTTCATATTAATATGATTGAACTTTGATTTTAATGAAGAGCATTGTCTTTAAATTAAAAAAATATATATAAAGCAATATATCCACCGAAATATTTTGTAATGTGTAAAATATATTTTATATCAATTGTAATGGCTAAAGCCAGGACGGTCTATGATGATGTGGTGGTTGTAGAGCATATAAGGAATGAATATATTGTTGGTAAGCAGCAGGATCCACTGTTAGATTAGGACCATGAGGTGGAACGTAAGCAGACACGTGTGGTCCATAAGCAGCGGATCTTTGCGCAGAATGAAGAAATGGATGAGGTGGATAATTTCTTGGAGATTGATTACTAAGTTTGTTACAGGATGACTGCACGGTATCTGTTACTGGTGCAACTTGCTGTTGCTGTTGTTGTTGTTGCTGTTGTTGTCTAAGCGCCATACTGTAATAACTATTTGTATTACGAAATTCATCTAAAAACGCAAATGCTGCTGCAGCAGCAGAAGCATCCTTATCATAAAAGGGTGAACTGCTTGTGGTGGTACTGGTTGGTGCAGCAAAATTGAAGGCACTACCACCTGGCGGAATTACTGAGGTATTTTTTAAGCCAATGTCTCCAGGAGTGCCTGAATATTGGGAAAAATTCGATATACTGCCGCTAGCTTGTTGATCTCCACTAACTGTAGACGGTAAGGCAGTGACATTTGGTTGCTCTTGCTGTTGCTGTTTACTTTTTTTACTTTTTTTCGTCCTAGTTGTAACCGGTGCAGGAGGTGGTCCTGTTGTTTCTCCTACTCTTCTTGACATTGACAATATTCCTGATGTATTTTTTGCTGCTGCACTTTGTATACTTTGTAAGAGATTCAAATCCAATTCCGCAGTTCCCGAAACAGGACTACGCGCATAAGCCAAATGTTCTGGTTTTGCAGGTGGTGGTCTAGGAATTGTTAATAATTGTTGTTCTTTGTTAGTACGACTTACTAAACCTAAACCCAATCGTGCATATGCAGGACTTGTGGCTACTGAATCTGCTAAACTTCCAACAAATACACTCTCAAATTGACTAGCTGAAACTGCTTCTGGTTGTGAAAGTGCTATCATTGGATCAAAAATAAATTGTTCTTGCCCAGTTCGTATTGTAGATTCTTGTGGCAGAGCGCGCGACGGTTCATTTGGCGATTCATTATATACACGCTTCTTTACAGGAGGAAGATTGCCACTTGTTGTGTTTGAAGTTCCACCACTAGCAGTTTTTGAGCTAGCATCAAAGTAATGCGGACTGTGGTACACTGGTCTAGAATTAGTTATAGGATATCCCGAAGGTTGAAATCCAGTTTGGTAAAGAGACTCATGCGTCGTTAAATTTTGTTGAAATGCTATAAGCTGCGATTGATCTTGTGCTTGAATTTGATCTCCAGTACTTGCATTTTTGCTGAGGAACGGTCTTTGTTGAGTATATTTTTGAACACCTACAGAATCGCTAAGATCAGTAAAATTTGGTCGTTCTTGTAATGTTTGTTGCGGCTGCTGCTGCTGTTGATGTTGCGATTGTTGTTGTGATGGTTCTTGATTACTATGTCTGCTACTAGATCTTTGTATATCACTATTAGAAAAATTATTTGGATATGCTGTAGGAAATTGATTCGACGGTTGATAAATTTGATGGTTCGCATTTAAATTCATTGACGATTCTGGCTGAACGATAAAATTTCGTTGTTCCTCAGGTGAAGTTTTATCACTATTATTAGATTTCAAAAATTCTTGTCTCCGTTCCGATTCATTCACCGACAATGTAGGAGATTGTAAATATGGATGAGTTTGTTTAAAGTTTTGAGCATAACTTGAAGATGCTATTGTGTTTGATGTATAGTCCTCAGGAGCTTTAGGTGGTTGAGATTGAGCATAATTTGTAGCTTGTTGTGGAGGAGATTGCAAGTATGTAGTAGATTGTTGTTGAGAGGTACATACAGATTTCTGTTGAGGAGAAGGTTGAGAGTAAACATGTGGTGACTGAGGAGATGGTTGGGGGTAACTTATTGCTGCTGCTTGTTGTTGTGGAGACAATTGTGAATAATTAGGTGGTGTTTGGGGTGAATGTAATGGATGAGAATAATTAGGTGCTTGTTGAGGAGATGGTTGAGAATAATTAGGTGGCTGTTGAGGAGATGGTTGTGAATAATTAGGTGGTTGTTGAGGAGATGGTTGAGAATATGAATTGTTTTGTGGTGAAGGTTGCGAATAGGAAACTTGTGCTTGTGGAGAAGATTGAGAGTACGCAGGCGGGGTTTGTGGAGAATGTTGCGAAAATGTTTGTATTTGCTGTGGGGATGACTGAGAAAAATTTTGTGGCTTTGGAGATGGTTGTGAGTATGGTGGAATTGGTTGAGGTGATGGCTGCGAGAAATTATTTGAATGTGTTTGTGGTGAAGGCTGTGAAAAATGTGGAGATTGTGTAGGTTGCTGTGAATATACTGGTGGTGGTTGAGGAGAAGTCCGAGAATATACAGATGATTGTTGTGGAGATGATTGTGAAAATGAAGAATGTTGTTGAGGCGAAGACGGTCGTGAATAATTCGAAGATGCCTGAGGAGAAGATTGAGAATAAGGGGAATGCTGTTGCTGTGGTGAAGGATGTGAAAAATTAGATGTTGCTTGAGGAGAATTTTGAGAATAATTGATAGATGAATTTTGTTGGGGAGAAGGTTGAGAATATTTTGGTGTAGTTGATTGTTGAGGCGATGGTTGCGAATAATTTGATGGCGCCTGAGGTGAAGTTTGTGAATAAACTGGATGTAATGGCTGAGGAGAATGTTGAGAATATCCGGCAGATTGAGTTTGATTATTAGATGATATTTGTTGCGGATAAGGTTCATTTTGTGACGAACTTTGTGGAAAATTATTTTGGGGGGAACATTGAGGAAATGTGGGAGATAACTGACGATAAGCTTCACTTGAATTTTCTTGAGGCGATGATTTCTGATATACTTGAGAAGTTTGGGATGGTATTTGAGGATATATTGGAGTCTGTTCATATGATGCAGGAGATGGATATGCTGGGGACAATGGATGATTTTGAGGTGATGGAGTAGGAGGTAATTGGGCACTATATCTCGGTGGAGTGGCATAATAGGGACTATTATAAGGACTACTACCAGTTGACAAAGCATCCTGATAAAATCCAGCACCTCGTATTTGAGTTTCAGTTGTGGTTACTACAGGCTGATTTTGCGGTGAACGACCTGAACAACGGCCAGGTGGAGATTCTTGAGAGAAACTAGAAAGTGATTCGCTTAAACTGCTACCACCTGTGCTCATACGCCTTGGTCTACTACAGATCGTTTCTTGTATTTCTCCATCTTTCTTTGGCACACCTTCTTCTATTTCTTCGTCTTTCTTTTTTGATTTTGGTGCCCCAAAAGCTTTAAACCAAGCACTTAAATTTGGCGTTGTGGATTTTTGTTTTTG